ATTCACAAGAAATAGGTACTTCCGGTTTACAAAAGGTCATTTCCGGTTGATTGTTTCAAGGTCATATGGCTTGCAACTTAAAGCACAAGTACCATAGCTTTATCAGGCATACATTAAAAGTTAAAGCAAAGGTCAAAATCTAGAACGTCAAATCAAACTTTGACCTTGACCCCAATTTCAAGGTCATGAAACAAGGGCCTCAAATCAAAACACTCTAGGTCTCTAATATATATTGTTAATGAGTTATATTACCATACAGCTAATATTAGATATAAAAGGGGCGAAAACTCCTATTAAATGTCTACGTACCCTTTCAACTAAAATTTACGTGTTACGACATGTTGCAACTAACATACACAATTCTGTAAAAATATTTTGTCGATATCTTATACAATCTCTGAAAATTAGTGATAACAAGCCAAAATCAAAATTTAGAATATGACCTTGACCTTTAACCTTGACCTTATTTTCTTTTTTTTTGGACCGAGTACCTCAAATCAAAAGACCTCAGGTCTCTATAAGTTATGGTTTTTCAGTTACAAATGCACATCACTTATATCAAATGCATAAGGGGAAATAACTCTCATATGGAGTCCCGGATAGCTTCGGTCAAAATTAATCAAATCATCCTGAGGATATAAAGAGCAATTTGGTAAAATCTTACATCGAAAAGTTTTTGGTTACGCGGTGTCAGTTTCAAAAGCGTATTAACTGTTCGATATCATATACCATATGTCTAAGCGACATCTTGCGAAACAAAAAAACAGCGAAGGCAAAAAAATTAGGCGGAAGAAAAAAAATAATAAATATAAATCAATTGCTTTAAAAAGCAATTGTAAACGGTCTTTCCCCCTTCTGAAACATGATTGATTGATATATGTGTTTGTTTGTTTGTTTGTTTGTTTTTTTTTGTTTGTTTTGTTTGTTTTTTTTTGTTTTTTTTTGTTTTTTTTTTTGTTTGTTTGTAAAGGGTCCATATTAGTGTGTTGGTTGAGTTTCTATATTAAGTTTGGAAAGTTTTTATTCTATTTCAGGGTCCGCGCGCGTCTTTGTCTCGCGCCAGGTTGTGGCGTCACGTGACGAGGCTTTATATTAGCGAAAACTTATTTTTATTTCTTTTTAGGTGGGGACGTTAAACAGACAACATGTATAGCGACGGAATTTACACAATGTATTTCTTTTGTCATTGTAGGTAATTGACATTTTGATCACAGTTTACAAGCAGTGCATGCTTTGGATTTAATTGATCCTGTGTAACTTTAAAACACGTTTATCGATTATTTTCAGATAGTGTACATTTTTTTAGCAGCAGTTTGTAACACAGATTTGTATTTCAATCTAGGAGCAGACATTTTATTGTAGGATTTCACAGAGATTTACGGAACTAGCAAGCGATTTTTACGGCATTGCAATTTCTTTTCTCTAGGAAAATTCTTGAGAGATATCTGCACCACATTGTTTTATGAAGATGCAATACATGTATACCCTGCTGACTGCAAATTTTGGGGTCAATTGGACATATAGTTTCAGAGAACATCTGATAACAAGCATGTGGATTTTTTTTTCTGAACAGATGTAAGAACAATATTAAAAACCAATTGTTCAGAGAACAATTGAAGGTCTTTCCACAAGTAAGGATCTATTTTGATATGAAAATATTAAAATTTTGTATTATATGTCAATTTCCGCGTCAAATGACAGCTTATTGTACGCTGATTCCAAAAATATATGGTTTCTATACAAAAAGATATAAATAAGGGAGATAATTTTTTACTTCCGGCTTAAAAGATGTTACTTCCGGTATTGTTTGATAGTTTACTTGGCACTGATTCCAAAAATATATGGTTCTAAATACTTTTACATTAATTTAGTACAAATAGCGACTTCCGGTTTGCAAAAGTCACTTCCGGTTGACTTTTTCAATGTCACATTGCTTGCAAGCTAATGCAAAAAGTCCCTTGGCTTTATCATGTATACATATGAGGTAAAAGCAAAGGTCAAAATCTAGAACGTTAAATTTACCTATGACCTTGAGCTCAATTTCAAGGTCATAAACCAAGGACCTCAAATCAAAAGAATCTAGGCCTTTACTTTATATTGTTAATGAGTTATATTACCATACGACTAATATTAGATATAAAAGGGGGGAAAACTCTCATCAAATGTGTACGTACGCTTTCAATTAAAATTTATGTGTTACGACATGTCGCAACTAATAATTGTGTGATAATATTTTGTCGATATCTTACATGATTTCTAAAAATAAGAGATAACAAGCCAAAATCAAAATTTTGAACATGACCTTGACCTTTGACCTTGACCTCATTTTCATTTTTATGGACCAAGGACCTCAAATCAAAAGACCCTAGGCCTCTATCACTTATGGTTTTCCAGTTACAAATACATTTCACATCTATCAAATACAAAAGGGGAAATAACTCTCATATGGAGTCTTCGTAAAGCTTCGGTCTAAATAAAACCTAACATCCTGAGGATATAACGAGCAATTTGGAAAAATAAATGTATGAAATGATTGTATGTTGAACATGTTTGTCCAGTAGGTTCGTCGGACCTTGACCTCATTTTCTTTGTTCAAAAGTCATGCAGCGTTATATTTTTATGGTTATATCCGTTTCCCAGATACTATATAGGAATACGTTAGCTTTATGTGGTGTATGTACAAGTTTTAATTCATTGAACATTATATTTAAATTGATGGAACGTTATCGCCTCAACACCAGATAATATCAATCAGTTTCTGAAAATCTTTTTCAAATCTCTAGAGGTGTTTGAATGTCTCAAACGCATATTCAGTAATCAACCGTTTTGATATGGCATGACGTCTGCATTAAACACACCTTACCTTTAATTAAGGTACCTTCAAATTTTGTAGAAATGTCTATGATCATAAAACTGGGATTAATTTTATTTGTTTCATTATGGGTTTTTATGTAGGATTTTATATTGGTTGCTTAAATGGCATAAATTTAAAGAAGAATGCACTATTCAATTTCGTTACTCCATAGATTTATAAAGCAAATACTCTGGCCTTTTTTTCACTGTAAACATCTTCCAAGGTCTATAGGGTAACTAACATCGTACATGAACACGGCATTGTTATTAAAGTGTCTGATCCAATGATTAAGTAATGTGATTATCTTAAGAACGCTAATTGTTTGTTTTTTTCATATATTTTGATCAACTTAAATTTAACCGCGTGTGAATGCCATTGACATATGGTGGAGACAACAACCAAACGGAGTCCAAATGAAGCGGTGTAATTAAGGTCACCGTACGGCCTTCTACAATGAACAAACGTAAACCGTATAGTCAGCTATAAAAGGCACTGACATGACAAAAAATGAACAATTCAGATGAAAAACTAGCATACAGACCATAGACACAAATTACCGATCTGAGAACACTAGCAGTTATGGAAGGCTAGTTCAAAACCAAACACAACTAAAAATACATCATGTTCTCCTACACGAAATTATCAATCAGTACAAAATAACGGATTTGGTGTAAATACGTCATAAACAGTACGAGAAAATTATTTCCTTCAGCAATGGCAAATAATCAGCTAGTTCATAAAATTTGTAGAATGTATAACCATAAGTTTTCGAACATTCAAAAATCTTACTACTGTGCTGAATGTATATCTTTGAAGAATAAATGAAAGGATCAATTACTAACATGAATCGTATCTAAATGTACAGTCTTTATTAACCTTCTTACCGTAAAAATCCGATATGACATCCCGTATTCAATAAGTATTTTATATCTACAGCCAAACTTCAAAACCAAATATTGGTATCTACGGAATGATTTAGTAAAATTAAGTAAAAGTTTGAATTAATTCATAGTAACGAAATATCCTAACTTTTTCTTATTTACCAGTCATACATAGCTAACGTTCATTGAAATCTAAAACGTCACTACAAACACCAGTATAGCGAACAAAATGGGAAATATACACATCGTAACAAGGAACCAAAAGAATATCACCGTTCACAAAATCGTCAATGTTGTCGTAAATAACTATTTGATTAAATGTTGCTCTTGAACTTGATAACGTTTTACATTTATTTACACGTCTGGACCAAAATAGAAAATCTAGAACAATATTAAAGTTCTAATATAATATACTACACAATTTAAAATCCAAATCTTACGCCGAAATTCTAGATGTTTCTGTTTAATATTATCTTTGTATAAATAAGGAGATGTGGTACGAATGCCATTAGGACAACTATCCATAGATCAAAAGACAAAAATATGGACATGCAATGCAAGACTGTCTTATTTCTTACTTGAATGGTGAAAACATTTACCTTTTTTGCCTTTACTTATTCGGCGTTTTTGTTCTTTTAGAAATAGCCATTTATTCTTGTTAATGCTGTTAATAAAAAAAAGAAGATGTGGTATGATTGCCTATGAGACAACTCTCCACAAGAGACCACATGACACAGAAATTAACTATAGGTCACCGTACGGCCTTCAACAATGAGCAAAGGCCATACCGCATAGTCAGCTATAAAAGTTAAGTCTTCTTCTATAAATAGACAGACGATATAGTTTCATCAATTTGATTGAAATACAGATCCTGTATCCACGCTTCGCTTATCAAAGCATGCACAAATGATATTTATTTTAATCCGATAGAAAAAAACTCATAAGTATAAATTTGTCTTTTTCTTTTTTAGCCATGGCGTTGTCAGTGTATTTTCGACTTGATAATATGAGTCTGAATGCCCCATTGGTACTTTTCAAAACATTGATAAATGAAAGGACACATACACATACAAAGCTCTAGCTATTAAGCAAATGCGTGTACTGCAATTTAAGTAGATGTGATAGAGTAAACCTGTAACGGCGTCAGATTAAGTTTTCTTTTCTTCGAGCCAAAGAGGAGTTTTTACCTGTAACAGCAAGATCTATTTAATTATGACCCTGTCAGGCTACCGTATACAATTTCTTTAATAGTTCATCATGTGACTTAAAAATTTAACAAATGCCACACTATTTATCAGGTAAGATCTATTTCGTCAATTATATTCAAACTATCTTAATTTGGTGTTTTATAATAAATATCATAAATTTTACCATTGAAGCATTTTCACTTCAGTTAAAATATTGTAATGATATCTATATATATGAAAGAGCGATGACGGCCTTGTCTATTGACAAACAAGCAAAAACGAAAGTACAAATGTTTAAACGATTTAGTAAAAGTCAAGATTAGTGTGAATAAAAATTCAGACTGGTCAAAAGTACATAAACCTCATAAGGAAAGAGCCGGATTTGTTAAAGTCGCCTTACAATCGCGGACAGGGGGGAGTAGTTTGAATGCATAGCATGCAATTATATATTCTGATTTTTTTTGGACAAGTAAATTTTTACAGATGGCTGAATCAGCAATAAAATCAGATATAAAATTATTTCTTAACTTTATAATTATACAGAATTGATTTTTTCAATAAAACATTATTTCTTTTTTAAATATTAAAGTATTTCCTTTTCATTGCCTGTATACTAATTTAAAGGGTAATAATTTTGATAACATTTCAAAGCTTTTTTCGAGATATAAATGAGTAGCTGTAAAAAGGGTTCCACTTTAATGTTTTGTAAACTTGATTTTCATGTTTTATCCGCATATGTACATAGCGTGCTACGGCCTCAAAAATTTAAATGCATATATTGTAAAGTGAAAAAAAAGGCACAACATAACGGAAATACAATGTAAATTTGAGTGAATGCACAAAGACACAAAATCCCAGGCAACAACTGTGTAAAGGCCGCGGTTGAATTGATTTTATTGACTGCAACTTCCAAATGCCATCATATAAATATAGAGAAGATGACATTCATTACTAATCATTCTCATTTTTCTCAATTTTTGTATCATAATTTGCTTGTATTTTTTTTTAGTTTCATGATGGCATCTAATTCATCGCACTGTGAGTCTTGTTCAGAGGAAGGAAAATCAATAGGGGCATCACAATTTTGTTCCGATTGCGACGAACGTCTTTGTAAAGAGTGCGTAGAATACCACAAGAAATGTAAAGCAACCAAGTCGCACCATTTGATGGACTTGGCGTCAATGTTGAGATCAAAAATACCGAATGTAAAGAAATTTTGCGAGGTTCACGAAGGTGTATCTCTAGATTTTTATTGCATGCAACATGACACAGTATGTTGTAGAAAATGTATCCCGTCTAAACATCAGTCCTGCAAAGATGTGCTACCACTTGAGGACGCTTCCCAACACATAAAGAAATCTTCGGTATTTGATGACACATTTAGGGAATGGCAAAACATTGCTAAAACTTTAGATCATTTAAGAAATGATCGAAACGATAATATCAATGAATTGGAAAAATCAGAATCGGCAATATGTGAAGAGGTCAACAATTTGAAAAACCATTTAATTAAACAAATCAATAGTTTGGTCGAAAAACTAAAGATAGATCTCTCAAACTGCAAGAAGAAAAACCTTGATCAATTAAGAAAAGAAAGTTCTGAAATTTCAGAATTACACGATAATGTACAGGAGATGGGACAGGAATTAGAATTTCTAATGGAGCATGGATCAAATAATCAGTTGTACCTCAAGCTACGAGAACAAGGAAAAGGAGTCCAGGATGTTGTCAAACGTGTACAGGAAATGGCCATGTCATACAAAAGGGTATATTTGAAATTTGAGAAAAGAGCCGATATTGACCTTAAGTCCATGGGATCGATTTCAGAGTGTAAGGAAGCATGTGACGTTCTGTATAGTTCAGCCAAACTTCAACAAGCACAAGTTCAGCCAGAAAAAGTTGAACCTATACTTACCTTGAAAAAGGAATCATCAACGATGTTAAATCTTCTTGATAAACTGCGGATATCAGACCTGGCTGTAACTGCAGACAAGACAGTATTCTTATGTAATAATCATCACGGTGTGCGTAAAGTATATGTTTATAAAACTAATGTAAATGACTTAACATTCAATACTACATTACGTTTCCCGAGTGAACCATATGGCATTTCTATACTTACTGGAACAGAAAAAGCGGTTGTTACAATACCATTGATGTCTGTTGTACAATTTATTAACACAAAAAGATTGTCACTTGATGAAACCATCCAAGTAGGAACAGGTTGTTTTGGAATCGGCACAAGTGAAGGTTATATTGCAGTTGGTAGTTCAACAGAAATCAGAATATTTAAACAAAATGGGATAAACATAAAGACCATTGCGCTAAAAGATATATTTAAATCTATATATGTGAGGTCCATAAACTACGATCACAACGATGGAAGTATAATATATAGAAAACCAGGACTGATTAATCGTATTCAATTTGATGGTTCCGTTTTATATAGATATGAAGTGTTAGGGGCAGCAGGCCTAGCAGTTGATACACAAGGGCATGTATACGTGAGTGATCAAAATAAAAGTGAGATACAGCGTTTATTACCAGATGGGCGATTTCGTGATGTGGTGTTGACAACCAATGTTAAAAAACCATTCGCTATAGCGTTCAATGCTAGTTTTACAAACTTTTATGTTACAAATCTCGAAGGCTTGTTGCAGATATATAATTGTAACTAACTTATTTATTCTTTCAAATTGTCAGTTAAGGCATTTTCAGCTTTCAAGCTGTAAAAGTATTGGTCTTAGCTTTCATTGCTTGTCCGATAGGATCAAAAATTGTATTTTATTCATTAAACGTTTTGTAGTATTAAATTTCAAATACTATACATATATATATATATTGGTATGTTATATTTTTTTATTATAAATACCATGATTAAGCCTACTAAGTATGACAATTACACGTCAGTATGCAATGTACAATAATTTGGTTAATATTAAACGTCAGTGGAAATTGTTACTTCGGGTTAATCAAATGTAGCTCTTGAACTTCTTTGCGTTTCACGATTATTTCCACACCTTGATCAAAACAGGAAATATAGAAAAATTCTGATCCTATCATGTGCACTGTAACAGGTCATCGCACGTCCTTCAACAATGACCTAACCCGTATATAGTAAGCTATAAATGACCACGGTTCAAAAAATGGGAAATAATTACAACTATGAGATGGACGGAGCAGAAATTCTGCATTGCAATAGATTGCATTCGGAGCTATAAGCTAGCGAGTTGTTGTAATGTTTATCTGTGCGTGGCACTCACCCTACAAGATGCATGTGATTTATGTTTCCCTTTCCGACCGAAAGTGGCTGTGCAACGATACATCCTGCACAACCAAACAAACGCCTCACTTTAGCACATTTTTTTTTAATTTTTACTGCCAGACGGGAGAAGTACATGCTAAACAGGAACAAGGGCTACAGGTGTAATATACATGCAATTTCGTATTAATAAAAGTATACTGATAATGATAAATTCTTTATTTTAAGAGGGTACCTCAATTTGAACTAGTCTTATTTTCATTGAGGCACTCAAACGAAATACATGTATATAGTTAACATTAATACATCAAAATACAATATAAATCTATGTTAACATATACTTTTTCACTTTTTTGGTCTTTTGGAAAATGTACAAAACCATTTTTTAGGACAACGCATCATGAACGACAAGGGCGAAGGGACAACAGACCGCAGTATACGGAACACAATTCTATCATCAGAAACAACGAATACCCAGGAGACGTCCCGGAAGGAAATAGCCTAACAAACACGGAAAAAATTCACTCTAGTGTTATAAACTTGTCGCATAAAAAATTACAATTAAGGGAAATAAATCTTTTAAAAAGAGGATTAAAATTTACACCAACTCCAAATGAGGATAAAACACAACATGCAGCCGACATTGATGAATTTGGCATAAAGGGAATGCGGTTGTAATCATGGACCGTGAGTATTACCGAGATAAAATTTTAAATATGTTACAAGATGAAATGTTTTATAAGGTGACAGATAAAAAAAATGGACAAACAAACAAGTACAATGATTAAAAAGTTACTAGATAAACATAAGACTGAATTGTATAAAGAAGAGATAGATTACATTTCAAACTCTAAATTTTCAGAAAGCTATTTCTATAGTTTATCTAAAATTCACAAAATTGAGGAAATTTCAAATGCGGTATCAGAACAAAACAGTGAATACATCGAACTTTTAAGACCAAATGATTTAAAATTTCGACCTATTGTGGGTGGACCCAACAGCGTCACACAGAATTTAAGCCATTTTATAGACATTGTGATTAAACCTTTATGTCGTGAAGTTCCTAGTTTTATACGAGACGATTTGGAATTTTTAAATCATCTACCAACAACTGTAAATCCTAATTCAGAACTCATTACTTTTGATATTGTCAGTCTTTACACAAATATCCCACATGACTTAGGAATTACAGCCGTAAAATATTGGTTAGAAAATACAGAAAACGTCATTGAAAACAGATTAACAAAAGAATTTATCCTTGCATCTTTGAAACATATATTAGAAAGAAATATTTTTTACTTTGACGGCACATACTATCATCAGAAAAAAGGAACAGCTATGGGTACTAAAATGGCGCCTTCATACGCCACTTTAGTACTTGGATATTTGGAACAATTATTATACGAAAAAATGGACCATGAATACGGAAATGACTTTGCCATTTACCTACGTCAAAATTGGAAACGATTTCTTGACGATTGTTTTATAATTTGGAATTCGGATATATCTGTCTCAGATTTTCATTCTGATTTAAATTCTTTACACCAACATATTCGTTTCACAATGAACAGAAATGTTAACAAAATGTCGTTTTTGGATATTTTAGTACTTATAACGGAAGACAATGAAATTGTCACAGATATCTTTTCTAAAGACACCGATACACATATGTATTTAAATTTTTACTCAAATCATCCAAAACATGTAAAATTAAATATACCTTTTAATCTAGCGTCAAGAATAATTACCATTACAAGTACAGAACTATTACGCAATAAAAGATTGGAAGAATTAAAAGAGTATTTAAAAAAGCAGCAATATCCGGAACAAGTGATAGATTGCGGAATTCAAAAGGCACTGATAAAAGGACCAATCATTACAGAATCACGGCGATCCGAAACAACCGAAGAATCATCAAACAGTTTAGACAAAATTCTCCCGTTTGTCACAACATATAACCCACGAGATTATGATATATTTAGTTTCATGCGACAAATTGAAAATAATTTACACAAAAGTGAAAAAATGGACAAAGTATTACAAAAAAAGAAGATTATCAACAGTAAAAGACAGTCAAAAAGTCTAAAACAATATTTAACATCTTCAACATTCGACTTTAATGAAACTTTGCCTATTGTTATAAAATGTACCGATAAACGATGTATGACATGTCCAGATTTAATAGAAGAAAGTTCAATTTATTTCAAAATTGTAAGCATTTCACAGTCAAACAAAATATGTCTTGTAAAAGTTCAAACGTCATTTATTCTCTCATATGTTCAAATTGTGAGGAATTTTATATTGGAGAGACAAAAACAGAACTGCGGACTAGAATGACTGTACATAGACAGCAAACCAACCATGAAGATTTAACAATCATCAGGGCTAACGACCATTTTCATCGTTGTTCTAATGGACGATTTAAAATATTTCCGTTGTATATGGTCAATCGTCAAAATGATTTTCTCCGGAAGAAGAAAGAAAAATTATTCATAAACATTCTCAACCCGGGATTAAATGATAAATAATATTTTAATTTTTACGAAACATTTTAAAAGACTTTACTCCAATTTTAAAATGACATTAGTAGTCTCCCTTGTATTTGTTAACGTCATACTATTGTTAACGTCAATCAATTGTTTTATAACATTTATGTATACAAGTCACATTACCTGAAGATCTGTGAAAGCAGTGAAAGCGCTAGTAAAAGTGATGAATTGAAATCGTCATTATCTTATATTAATTTTCTTATATGTTACCAGCATACGGATTCTATTTGACTTTTTTCTATATATATATATATATATATATGTACTAAAGAAAACCCGCGCGAGCGCGGGTTGGAGACTACTTCAAATGAATATGGTGATACACAGCTTGGGTTAGTGTTTCTCAAAGTTTTTTTATGCACTGATGCATTATGTTGATAGTTTTGATTAGTTTATCAGTTCTTCTTCCATTGGAGTTTGAATGTCCAATTAGTAGCTTCTGTCTTGGTGTTACACATGTGCTCCTAGAACGGAGGATAAGTCAGAGAAGAAGAAGACAACCTAGAACACTGATGATTAAAACATTTCTCAGTGGTGCTAGTTTGTAGGTTTTTCTTTTTCGAAAGGTGTGAGTCAAGTTCTGTCTCTGTGTGGTACGGGTGCTCCAAGAACGGAGGAAATAACTACGATAAGACAATTTAGATTTTTGATGGTTCAAAACATTTCTTTAGTGGTGCGAGTTTGTAGTATTTTGTGCGTTCTGTCTCTATGTGACACGGGTGCTCCGAGAAAGGAGGAATTTACTAAGAGAAGAAGAAAACAATCTAATGATTAAACACATTTCTTCGAGTTTGTTAGATTTTTTTTTTTGAGCGAGGGTGGAAGACTTCTTGAAATATGTATGGTGATACACAGCTTGGCTTCGTGTTTCTCAAACTGTTTTCATGCACTGAATCTGATGCATTATTTTGATAGTTTTGATTACCCTATGTAAGTTCTTCTTCCATAGGAGTTTGAATGTCCTATTAGTAGCTTCTCTCTCGGTGTGTCACAGGTGCTCCTAGAACGGAGGAAATAACCCAAAGAGGAAGAAGACAACCTAGAACACTGATGATTAAAACATTACTCAGTGCTCTCTGATGAACTTATGCATTTCTTCAGTGGTGCGAGTTTGTAGTTTTTTTGTTTTTTTTGCGAGTGGTGCGAGTTCTGTCTATTTTGATAGTTTTGATTACCCTATGTAAGTTCTTCTTCCATAGGAGTTTGAATGTCCACTTAGTAGCTTCTCTCTCGTTGTTTCACAGGTGCTCCTAGAACGGAGGAAATAACCCAAAGAAGAAGAAGACAACCTAGAACACTGAGGATTAAAACATTTCTTAGTGCTCTCTGATGAACTTATGCAATTCTTCAGTGGTGCGAGTTTGTAGTATTTTTTTTCGAGTGGTGCGAGTTCTATCTCTGTGTGACAAGGGTGCTCCGAAAAAGGAGAAATTTACTAAGAGAAGAAGAACACAATCTTATGATTAAACACATTTCTTCGAGTTTGTTATATTTCTTCCTTTTTTTTTAGTAGGACGAGTTTTATAAAGTGATGCAAGTTGTAATAATTAGTGAGAGTGTTTGAGTGGGGCGAGTTGGCTGTGGGCCGAATTGTCATAAATTCAAGACAAATTGAATACAAAACCATTTCCGTCTGCTTACAAAACGTAGACGGTAAAGAACCAGCTACGGAATTTTTTTTGGGTTTCATTAATTAAGCTACGCTAATTAAAGCAATTTCTATATGAAGTTATAAAGTACATTACATACACTAACTATTTATTATTATATAGACGATCATCGGCTCGGAGACAAACCGGCTAAAAAATTTTGGTCTCCAAATTTAATAGGATAGATATACAATTCAATCAATCAGACATTTAAATGGCAACAATTGATAAAGTTTTCATATTCTAACCATAAAAGAAAAATTATTTGACTTGCATAACATTTTCAAGAAAAT